ATTTAGTTGAACTTATGTGCTTTAAATTCGATGACGAGGAACCCACTTTGAGACCAATAATGCTTGGAAACGGCTTGGGTGGGTAATGAAGAAAAACTTTAATCTAAGTTTAACATAACAGCAAATGTACAACGTCTCGGCAAGGTTTTGTCATCATCCGCAAAACCTTGTCGAGACGTTGTACATTTGCTGTTATGTTAAACTTATATTAAAGTTTTTCTTCATTACCCACCCAAGCCGTTTCCAAGCATTATTGTGTGCTTTAAGTTTTAAAAGGTTTCTTTGTAATGGAAATCACATTCTCCACAGCCAAAAGGACTTACGACCAAGAGGGAGATGGTTGTATCAGAGAGTTTTCAAGCCGAAGAGAATTTTTCTTTTGTACATCAGACTTTTTCTAATGATGTGAAACTCCATGACATCAATCTTATTACACCTGGTAACTCAGGAAGAAGAATAACCAATGTCATGTGGACTCATAATGTCTGTTCATGCTGTTCCCCTGAGGATCCACCTGAATGCAAGACATGGACTATTGAGAATCGTTGCAGTGGTGTGGCATCTGGCAAATCCGAGCGAAGCTTCCGAGAACATTGTAGAGAGAATGGACATGGAGTTGGGAGAAGACATGCAACAACAGGAGAGACAGTGGGCACATAATGGCGAATGATAGTGGTGAACCGGAATGTATATTGCAGAAACAACCATCGACCATAGAGGAGCTTGGGGTCGTGCATTGCCGATGGACAAGCTGCTAAGTGCACTTCGTTGTTTTGCCACCCAAGAGTAGGGGCCTACCACTCGTCAGGGTACCTGAGAGTGCCTACAACATTGTTTATATAGTATCAAGAAAATATAGGTCAGGTGGTAGCCGGGACACTGCGAAAACAAGGGTCTGTACACAATCCCCGCCGATGTTCAAGGACACAACAAAGGAGAATTTGGTGCATTTTTTGAAGTGTTTCAGGCAAGGTAGCTGCTTGAAATATCTGGACTCCAAAACAGGCTGTGCAACGTCTGGTTCTGAATTTAGACGATTTAACTCTAGACTTCATCGAGCACTTGAATACTTGAGCACTTGAAGCGTGTTATATACATTCATCTTTTCAGTTCACTATTGACTACACTTTTTAAATATAAACAAATTTAGAGACCAAGACACCACACTACATACAATTTTCTGACACATTTTGCATCATGGCTTGCTTTACTTTATTTCATATAATTAATGTGAAAAGTAGAAAATTGTTCTAGAACAATTTCACCTGACACTCCTATAATTATGTAACGTAAACTTTTCCAAAGTGTGGGACGTGCCCCTAGTGAGGCGCGAATGAACTTTTATGGGGGGTTGGGAGCGATTAGGGTGGAGTCAATACTGCAATAATGCAAAATTAAGTATTTTAATATATTTCTCATTAATTAAAACAATAAGTAATTACTACAACACATATAGCATTTTAATGTGTATTCGTGTATTACATCTGGTCACTTAACTCACTGTTCCCGTCATTAAAAAAAAAAAGGAAGGAAGGAGCGCAAGAAACCATATTCATTAAAGGGGCACTTATGACAAAAGTTTGGGACACGCTGATGTAACGAACAATTCTCATTAACAGGAAGCGAAATACATAAAATGTTTTGAAATAATAATGTTAAATTATTTAATAATGTCTTCAAGATTATTATGAGAGAGTCAGACTCTTAACTCTACATACTCGCAAATAAACATGTTTCCATACACTGCAACCAATGCGTCAAATTTTTGTTTTTTGTAATAAATATGAATAGTTACAAAAAAAGCACTGACATGAATGATATAGTGAAATGTACACCGTCACGGCAGATAAAATTATAGAAAAAAAAAACAACTAACGCCATATATGACAATTACACTCATGTACTCAGGGAGAGGGGTGGATCAGCCGAACCCCTTATTTTTGTGATGTAAAATATATATATAGTTATAATGCAGCTGTTTACAATATTTAACATTTTCTACATAGTTTACATTCTTCTGATGAAGCATTAGCAACCTTTTTGGCTTGAAATAGTCGCATGCTATCAGAACCCCGTAATATTAGCATGCTGATTGTGCTTCGCACAATATGTGTTGATTTTGATCTCACAAATTAGAACCCCCTCTTTCAAACATTCTGCGTACGGGCCTGAATTGCATTCACAAATTCACCTTAATGAGAAAAAATTATATTTAGTAAATTTTATTATAGCTAACAGTGTATTTACAGATCTGTCAGTAACATGGAAGTGTAGTCAAGTAATGTTAAAACGTAATCTTAAAATAATAATAACGTCGGGGTAGCAATGTAAAAAATAAACCTTTTTGGTGAAACAGTAATCTGCGAAATACTATTCGCATAAATACACACAGTAAAACAAAATGTAACAGAATAGCATTACAGTAAAACTAAGAAAACAACAAACGTGACTTACAGAAATAATAAATTAATTATATTTACAAGGTTTTATTTTCATTTTCTTTAAGGGTGAGAAATGATGTATACAGAAATATAAATGTTTAACTATAAACTTCATATCTAAAACAATGTTTCGATCGTTTCTCAATTCAATCATCAATATACATCACAAGTAATCAGAACGGGTTCCTGTCAGTTAATATCTCTGACAAACTTTTAATTTGAATACTTATTAAGAGAATGATTTGTTTATTCATTTCTTTTTAGAATTCGAATGTTGTTAAAAAATCAATCCTTTTTATAGTAAGTAATGCAATTTATGGGGTAATTGAACTTATCACTAATAGAGTCCCAACGACTCCAGTGACAGGTCGTTTTATCATGTGACTTGCGTCAAGGTGCCCATTGCCATCAGAATGATCATGTCATAATCATCAAGCATTGATTTTGCAGTGTAAGTAAGAAAAATATTCTGAAATATGGACTTCCCAAGATTTTACATTATTTGCTTCGTGACCAGTTGCATTTTATGTCATTATTTTGTTTTATTTCCTCTTAATTTATAGCCACGAGAGTGTGCTGCAATAGAGAGACAAAAATAGTGTCGCAAGAGGGCGTTGTTATTCCGGACAACGAAGGTTTTAGACTAACGATGTCGCAAGTAGTATAGCGTTACGGTAGAGATCTGTGCCAGCGATGTTACTTTAGTTAAAACATGTATAGTTTTGTTACGTTATTAGTTTTCTAGGAATAAATTCAAGAGAAATACTGTACTGTAACTGAGTGTAAGTCTATATTATTGATGAAAACTGTTTACTATTAATTTTATTGTTAAGTACTACTACAGATACGTAATTTGTAACTATTAGTATTATAATTAATAATAATTATTATTAATATTACACAAAAAGTAAAAACTAAAGTAAGCTTATTAATTAAATAACACCAATACTGGCAATAGTAATATACAGTAGTTTACTTAGAAATTTCAGTAACATTATTATTACAGTATTACTGTCAATGTCACCTTGTCAGTAACATAGACTGAAATTATGGATTATTGGTATAATTTATATATAAATGTCACTCAGTCAGTGTTTCCACTGAGTGAGGTTGACAAGTTACATATGGGGTGCATTTGAAACTATCAATGTCATGAACTGGATGAGAACTTGGTAGGCCTGGGTAAGCACTAGTAGTAGTAGTAGATTCAATCTTAAAACTTAACCTTTCAAAGTCAAAACAGTACTTATAGTTTGAAAGTTATTATATAATACAATTTGATATTTTTATTTCTGACATATTTTTAACGTTTTATAAATTTGTTTATAAATTTTATTTTATTATATAAGTATAATAATATGATATGTTGGAGTTCTAGAGTAAGGATTATGTTTTACTAAACCAGTCTTAAGGATATGAGAGGACACCAGAAATATTTTTATAATAATTACATTCAGAAAATCTCTGTTATTATTACAAGAAAACAGTAGATATTTTTCTTTTATATGAGTTTGACCATTATTGTTAAAAGTACATAAAATTAATTTACTGAAAACAAATACAAATTAACAGAGCTTTATGGTATAGCTATAGTAATATGCAGAAGTTATTGGTTGTCAGTATTACTCTTTACACACATAGGTTGGACTTTGCATAGAACAAAGGGCACTCACAGTTGAAACATTGGTATAAATGGTTTTCACTATATGATATAAGGACTACTGAGTGAATAACAAAAAAATAAGTGAATCTCATTGTTTTCAATTAGTGCAGATTAGAGATGAGTGTTTAGCTATCTAGATACGACTCTCCTAATATATATATATTTTTGTGCAAAAATTGTAAAAGTTTATAACTAAAGAGAGAGCTTGAGCCCCCACTCCTTTGTTTTGTGCATGAACATTAGTAATTAATAGTTCATAGGGGATCTTAGTGTTAGATATATCTATAAATATGTAAAATAGATTAATTTTAGTTAAATATGCAATTATTGGGTGGGCATATTGGTAATAGAGAATACTAGTAATTAGTAGTAAAACTTCAATATGGTTAGAGGTAGCTCAGGTATAAGTGGGATGCAATGTATAAGGTGCAATAAGTTCCAGCATTGGGTTATGTGTGAGAATTGTGGGCTTAATTGCAATTTTCAAGAAGCTCAGAAGAATACAGTACACTACACTTCCAAAACTTGTTTACTTGATAAGTTATAGAGAACTTTGGGGAAGACTGCACTTTTAGTTTTAGACAGGGAGATTTAGCAGATTAAGAGCAGAACAAAAATAAAAGCAAAACAAGAAATGGATAGTTAGGGTAAAGGTTGTTTTGGGAAGAGGGAGAATGAGTGTGTTGGTTTATAAGGATGTTTAGTACTTAGTAAAATCAGTTAAATCTATATAGGAAAGTTCAGCTAGCATTCAAGTACCAGTCTAACAGATTTGAACCTTGACATAGGTTTACATAGTGTGTATGTTTAGAGGGAGCTTTTTCATTTAGTATACTGATAAAGCTACTTGTATTGGGAAGCATAAAGGTTAGGGCTAGAACTTGCATGTTAGGTGCTAAAGTACAGGACATTATAGTCTTTTGACAATTTAGTTACTCTTACCAAGGTTTAAATGAAAGATGATCAAAGATGTGCTTAGAGCAACAGGTGGGTTGGTTGGATTTGTTGGATAGTTTTCAGGGTAAGAGTGAATTATATTCTAGAGATAGACTCCACTTAAGTAGGCTGGGAAAATAAAAATATTTCCCACTTTTTATTTTTTTATGAAAGCAATGATTCACCCCTTAAATTCTTCAAATGTTCCAACTACTGCTAATGGCAACTCATTTCATAAATAAGTCAATTACCCTGTTATAACTGAAGCTTAAACTGTCTTTTTCCAAATCTTAAGCTTATGTCCAAGTACTTCACAAAGAAATCTGAAATCTTTGTGATTATTCTATCAATTTGCTAGATAATCTTGTAAACTTCAATAAGATCTTAACTTACAGCTTTAAGATAATCTTACATCCAAGGAATCATCTCAGTAGTTCTTCTTTGAATCCTTCCTAATAAGTCATTATCCTTTTTTTTTTTTTATAAGGAGACTAAAAGTAAAACTACACAGTAGTATCAATGAGGCCTAATTAGTGATATTTATGGAGGTAATTATTTTTTTGCATTATAATCAACATATTTATAAGTACAACCTAAAATTCTATTAGCTTTACTTCTAGCAACAGAGCATTGCTTTGATGGCTTAAGTGTCTTATCCACCACTATGCTAAGATCCTTTAGTTCAGTCAAATTGTTGAGTTGGTTCCCATCTCTATTAATCATTTGATCCAAATTTTGATAACCAAATTGTATTATCTTTCATTAATTATAATTAAAGGTCATTTGCCAATTATTCATAAAATCAATCAATTGATCCATGTCAATCTAGTATGTCAACATCTTTAATAGCTAGAAATACCCAAGAGTTTAAGGTAATCATCAGTCTTTATTAATTTGCTACTTATATTCCTATCAATATTAGTAATATAAATTAGAAAGAGCAAAGGTCCAAGTATTGACCCCTGAGGTACATAACTAGTAAAAATAGTGCAGTTTGACTGGACTCCATTATAACAATATTTTGCTTTCTTCAATCTAACCACCCTGCAATCCAGTTAACTAGTCTTTCCAAAACCATTGTTGATGTGATTTTCTTATCCAATATTTTCTATGAGAAATTAAATGTATTTTGATTATTTAAGAACATCAAATCCACACCTTTTCATTCAAGATAATAAGTAATGCTCTTGAAGAAATATAACAGACTAGTAAGGCAAGATTTTCATTTGGTGAATCTTAGTGGCTTCCATTTATAATAAATTTCACTATTATGTTTTTTTTAATCATTTTATCAGATTCTAGAATTTTTCCCTTTATGGATGTAAGAATAACTGAACTATAAATTCCAAGCAACTTCTATTATTCCTTTCAAAAACTGAAATAACATTAGCAACCCTCTAATCTTCAGCTTTTTGCCTATTCTTTGTTGACCAACTAATAATAAATGATAGAGGCTTGCATATCTGATTTTTGACCTCCTTTAAAACCTTGGGGGAAAACCTTGTTTGGCCTTGGTGCTTTATCTATTTTCAATCTTTCCACTTACTGCAAATATTTTAATGTCTACATGAGTGAGGGAAATTTCAGTATTTCCAATAGAATATTCAGGTTCCAGCTTTGAACTATTGGTTTGTGCACTGAAGATATAAGCAAGAATCAGTTTTGTAACCTGTGATGGTTATAGTCCCTTGAAAAAAGCCGAAACGACGGGTAGAATAAAAACATTTATCTCAGGCTTTTTGTTGTCTTCATTGCAAATAGTTTCTATTCTTCAGTCAGCAGTGAAAACTTTAAAAAATATTAAAAAAAGTTATGTAACAGTTTTTTATTAAATTAAAGTTGCTTTCTAAACATGAAATTCATTTACTCCATGATAATTATATGGTTAAAGTGTCAAATAAATTATTGTACACCATGTCTAAGTGGATAATCTTTTTTGGATTTAGTTTTACAACAAAATATATTTTTTAATATCTTTTTTATATGTAAACATGCAATTTGTCACAATTTTAAGATATAACAAAATTAAACCAGTCATAAATAGACTCACCTTTACAAGGTTATCACTTCAATTATGGTTATGATTTGCTCTTGAAATGACAAATCACTTTAAGTAATACTTTTTTTCGTAAGAGAGATGAAGTAGAAAATGCCCCTACAAAATGTTTTGAGACTTAATTCACATAATCTCAGATGGCAATCAACTCAAAATTTTCAATTTGTCATAAATGACAATGATGGGGTCTGAATGTTTTCACTTACAAAGTGTTCTGCATTTCTAACTAGTATCATTACAGGGATGAACAACTTATTAGTTTATATTTTTATATCATTTTTATGCATCCATTATTGCACGTTTAGATGAATATGAAGCAATACTGTCTAGTAATTTGTTTTTAATAATGTCTTAAAAGAAAAAATAAGACATTCTTGTAATCATTGTCTGGTGTAATCATAGGATTGGTTTGTTTTGAATTTTGTGCAAAGCTACACAAGTGCTATCTGCATTAGCTGTCCGTAATTTAGCAGTGAAAACTAGTTATCACCACCCACCCACCACCAACTCTTTTGTTACTCTTTTACCAATGAATAGTGGGATTTACCATCACATTATAATGCCCTCATGGCTGAAAGAGTGAGTATGTTTGGTGGGATTCAAACCTGCAAATCTCAGATTGCGAGTGCCCTAACCACCTATTTATACACACACACACAAGTATACAAAGATCAATATTGATAAAAGCTAGTAAACTATGACATTAAATGTTAGTTGAAAATATAAAATCAGGTTTCTAAATGTATTTTATTTATCTTTGATAACCGTAGATTAACGAAGACTAACTATTTAGTTATAAAAGTTATAAAACTTTAATATCCAATACAACATCACTTGAATTAAGATTTTCATAAGCATTTGTTATATATTACCTTAGACTTTCATTTAGGCATAAACATAAAGGCTCATTAGTGTTTTTGTAAAAGGTATGTAAACTATATAAAGATTTTACAGATCCTATAATAGCACATTGGTAGAACATCTACAGAATAAAAATTATCAGTTTGAGTGGTAGTTTTATATTGATGATGTAAGCCTGTTGAAACATTGTAAATTTGGAATAAAGTCTCCAAACTCTAAAGTTTTATGATGATCTTTAGATATTCACATGCTACTTTTAACAGGTTTTATAACACATTTTAGGCTATAGAAACATACTGTTCCGGTAGTTGTTAGTTTTAAGAACTTCTACAAGTACAGGTATGTAAAAACCCAGTCCTATGTACAAGAGTAACGTTCATATGTAATGTTGTGGCTATTCTGTGGAAAACACTAGTGTGAGTAGTCAGCCAGTATGGCAACAGCAAAATGTGTAGAACATTACAAAAATTATAAAAATATTTTTATCAATTTTGAACTAATTGCTACAGAAGATAAATTTGCTGAAGAAACCATAAATATCATTTTATTATTAATGGTTATTGTGATGCATACATAATGTTTTTATACAACTGCTTTTAAATAATGTTTTTATGTGTAAGCAGCTTTCATGACGGTGCAATGAATCGACATCAAGTTTTAACGGGGGCTGTCAATGCTGGGGCAAACTGTTATGCAGTTGGATCTGTTGAAGGTGTTCCTTTTACAGTAAGTAAAGAAAAAAAGATTGATACATTTAATAACTAAAAATGATAGTATACATAAAGGCATATATATGTTTTATAAAAAAAAATTTCTCTTAATTTTAAACCTAAGTAGGACAGTAGTTATGATAGTTGCTTGACATACTAAACTTGTATCTGATAAACTAGAAACATTACATGTTTTCAATATAATAATGTTTTTTAACACTTTTGATATGTGTCACAGGTGATAGGCCATGTCATTGCGTTTGTTGACTTGTATTCAAAATTTTATTGAACTACTTTTCATGAATTTATGTCAATAAGTTTGGTATCAAACTTTAGATTATAATTCAAATTTTAAAACTATACATTACTCAATTTTTTAATTTAAAAGTAAATATTAAAAAACACAGATAAACATAAATTTTTGTTTGTCACGTGGTATGTTGAATGCAGCACTGGTTCAAATTAGATGTTTGTGAAGTCAAAATACTAAGTCTATAGTTTCGTACAAATTAGAAACTCAAATTACAGATATTGACAAGCTAGAATATAAAATAAGAATATCTTATCTTTTCTATTTCCTCACATTTCACATGTTGCCTATCTATCATGCAAAGTAATTTTCATTTTAAGATTAAAAATACTTTTATGCATCAGCAAGTTCTCAAATTTCACATGCAAAATCTTTGTAATGTCCAGATAGTTATCAAATGTTTCTTAAGAAAAAAACTTTATATTTTATTTGTTATTTTCTGTAATTAATCTTTGTATGAGTTTGGTAGATTTGACCAGTCTCATAATCACCATACAAAATTAGGAAATAAACATAAATTATGCCTCTTTCATTCTAAAATGAACACACATCATAACATGAAAATACAAATGTTTAGACTAAATAGCTTAAATCTCATAACATTATACATTTATATATGTTTCCAGAATAAGTTTATTAGTAATTTTCTGAATAATTTTGTTTTAATAGGCAATTTTCAAGTTGTTTGATATACACATTTTGATATGTTTTTTGTCTTAGGCATATGCAGCAGGTTGTAATGTTGTGATTCTTGCCAGCAATTTTCAACGAGTTCAAATCATTCCTGGTGTTCATTATGGGAATGTTCAAGTTGGATGTTTGGATTGTTCAACTGATATTGGAAAGGTATTTTTTGCTTCATGTATTTCATACTGTAATAATACCTAGATGTAGTCTTGAAGAAAAATGTTTGCATGAAAAGAGATTCTTAAATGCGAGATTATTGTCATAGGTAAACTTGAGTGATTATGTTTCATATAAATAACTTGGTCAAGGTGAAAATTGAAATTAATTGTTCCCCATTTTCACCAGATGTTTAACAGAATAAATTGTTAGTGTTATTATTTAAGCTATTTCAAATAAACAGTTTTATTGCAGTTTCAAAAACATTTATGCTAATCTTGCATGATGGTTCCATATCATGCCATATTTTGCATGATATCTTGATCTAAGTTTTTCAATGTACTCCTAGATTTGGAAGTTAAGTGAAAAATGTTCATTTATTCTATTCAGTCATGTGTGGAGTGGTTAAAAGTGGAATTAGCTAATCAACTTTTACTAATGAATACAATTTGTAATATTTTCAACCAGGACAAAAAGTTTGGTAGAAAAATTATTTTTGAAACTTATCTAATACTTTACATACCAAATTTTTCTTTAAGAATAAGTGAAATAATTTAGCATTTGGGAAGTAACCATTATATAGAATTTTGGAGGTTTTGTTGTTGTTGTAAAGAATTGATAATTGTTCTAATTTCAAACTGAGTTTTTTTAAATACCCATATTAATGGTTCCTACACAGTTCTGTGTTTATTATGTCTCATTTTGAGGGATAGATGTGTATTAATAAATATAGAACTGTTAGCTGGTTTCAGTTTATTTTGTTTTTACTCGCATAATTATACTAGAATGTTAAAAAAAAATGAAAATTTAAACTTTTCAGATAGAACTGATATACTCTTGTTGAAAACAGATTTTGTTAAACAAGACGGCTTATCGACTTCTTGAGAAGAATTCTAAGAAGAAAGTAAACCTACAGACGTCGGTCTTGTTTAACAAAATCTGTCTTGTTGAAAACTGAATATTTTTGTAAGCAGTTAGTGGCTATACTTCATATATATGTTTTAATATTTGTATTGTTTTGTTGCAGATTGCTGCAGCTTATGGTAAACAAGTCTATATATTTGAACCAACCCCTCTATTAAATTGGAATTCATCACATGTAAGTCTATAGTGATCTTTCTTGGTGATATAAGTAGTAGATAACCAACAGTTCGAAATGGTTACTGATCAACTCTAGAAGTGAATGTTTATCTTTTGTTGCAACAGCTTGTTTTGATTTTGATAAAAGTGTAATGATCATTGCTTGTATATCTAGAAGAGTTTGAATATGGTTATGTATCATCAGAAGGTTTTTAATGTTGAGAGTGTTGTTTTTTTTTTACTTTCTTTTAGCATTGATATTCCTACTGTGATTTTTATCCATACCCTTAAATGGACTTCAGTTTTGTAAAGTCATTCATGAGTGTGGAAAAATCAATGTTTAAGTTTGTTTTTGGGGGAAATATTGGCAAATGTATACCATCTCCAAGAGCTGTTAAATCTAAAACACTTTTATATAAATTAAGTTTTTTAATATAAGAAAACCAAAACATGACCTAATATAGAAAATTCCTTTTACAGTATTGAAATACAAGCAAGAAATACTGATAAAATACATATTTGATAACACATACAAACATCAAGTGAAAACAGAAAACATATATGATTGTATGTAATTCCAAGGGAGACATTTGGCCTTATAGTTAAAAATCATTTCTAAAAGATTGTATTGATTGTCAATTTTAAAATTTCAAAACAAAAGGAACAAATATTTAGAATGGAAAATTCCCAAATGAATAATGACAAAATGAAAACTCAATACATAATATATGTTATAGTCATATTTTTATATCATTATATTTAGTATTAAATTTTCATGTGAAAGCTGATCAGTGAAATAAGACTCCAGAACTTAAAGCTGGGACCTCTGGCTAACAAGGCTTGTGCTCTATCACTGAACTGTCCAAAAGTACAAGCTGTCTCTGTCAGTTTTCACTTATAAATATTTTCACTGTGAGTATGGTTACTATATTACTTTATGATTAGTACACAGACCAAATCATATGAAGTCTATCATGAATTTAAATGTATTTTCTAATTTCCACTGGGAAAAAATGAAATAATAACATGATGTAATAATACTTAAAATATTTAATATTAAGTTTTAAGTGAAAAAGAGACTAAGGTGTAGTACAGTGGATCATACTCATAGCAAGAAGTATTGTAAATTAAAATCGACAGTGATGACTTGGATAGTTCAGTGGTAGAACACTGGCCTTGTTAGCTGGAGGTCCAGGGTTAAAGTTGCAGCCATGGAGTCTCTTTTCACTTATTGGGTTTTTTACTTTAAAATGTAATGTTAAATGGTATACGTTCAGTTTTGCTAAAGCTATTGATATTAAAGTACAGCAAATTAGGCCGTAATGCTGTTATTAGTGGTAATTAAAGAAATTTTTTTTAAAGATAAACATTTTCAGCTGATGAAGAATCTTTAAACTAAATAATGAAAAGAAGTTTTTGCCCAAAGCAACTTATTCATACTGCCTAAAAAAAATTAATGGCAAACTGAATTAAAATGAAAGTTAAACCTACCGTGATTTAGACAAAAAGTTTTGCCATTTTGTTACAAAAACATCAAATAACATTTGTTGACATAATATAATAAACAAAAACAGTAAAATACAAATACAATAGAACCTCAACATCAAGGGCACCCTTCCAACTGTGTCCAAGTGCATTCTATAGCAAGGGCCCATGCAAAGTTAGATTCCATATTGACCATACTAAATTTGTGTATTTTTAGGCCCTCCCATTTTGTTTGGTGTATGTAGGACACAAGTGTTCATGAGTTGCACGTTGCCATGACCTGGAGTGTTGTAAAAAGGAAATCTTTGGGGTGGATTAGGCTGTGCCTTTTTTTTATTTGTTATTGGTCACAAAGTTTCAAAGTACTTCTTTTCAGAGTTTGAACTGCTAGACATTTCACATTTATTTTCTGTGCTTATTTTACTGTCAAAGACTGAAGTAGAAATCTGCTGAAAATAATGCAACAAATCACCACTTGAGTCATTAGACTGTTTATATGATACTATAATATTGAGAGCAACAAAGCAAATGCACAGAAATAAGCCAACTTAACCCTTTCTCCGAGAACATAATGTGGAATTTATCAGCTTATGTATCCTACAGTTTATTACAGTATGTAGTTTGGAGCTGATCCAATGAACCTTGTGTTTGAATATTGGTCATCTTTCCAGGATGTTTGGAATTTAGCGGTATACTGTACAGGCATACAAAGATAATTGCCCGCTTTATCGAGTGCCCATTTAGAGAACAAGAATAAAGACACTGCCCTTAATCCTTAATATTGAGGTGCCCATTATTGCAACATTTATTTTGGTTACAAATAGTAAGAAAAAGAAAGAAACTGAAAAGGTCTGCGTGTTGTTTCAAGGTGCCTGTTAATTGAGGCTTACTGTATGTGTAACAATGAATAACAAAATACCAGACAGTAGCAAAAATATACACATTTAAGGACTGTCTGTTCCTTCGTGGCTGTTATTGCACACCCATGCTTCGGAAGAGCAATTATTTAAATCCACCCTTTAATTTTCAGAAAATCATTAATCCACTTCTTAAAATCTTGTAAATTTGTGGTCAACATTACTGCTGATGGCACCTTTTTTTCTACAAGAAAATTTCCTTCTTAAAATAAACTAAGAGGCCTTTATCCTAATGATCCTTTGGATAAACTTGTATATTTCAGTAAGATCACTTCTTATCTTTATTTCCACCAAACAAGAACAGGTTGGAGACAAATTATCCTAAAATATAATAAACAAAGAAGATTAAAAATGAAAAATTATGAAACTAAGTTTAAATCCACAGTAACAGAATAATAACCAATGTAAATAGAAACTTCACATGTCCTCTTCAGTCCAATGTTGGACTACAAAAAATATGTGAAATGTTGAAAATTTTGTATTATTCTGTTAGTATAGATTTAAACTTTATTGTAAGTTACTTTGCATGGTATTGTGTATTTACCCATTATTTGTTATGCAACTAAGCTTAAAGGAGAAAAAAAAATAGAAAAGCATAGTACAGAACTACTGAACACAAAAGAACATAAAACCAGTAACCATTCCAAGTTAAGATCTCCGTGTAGCTATAGAGTTAGGGTAAAAAATACTTGTGAAAAATGTCACAAATGATATTTAGGAATTTTTTTATCACAAGTGATTAAAAAAAAGTAATATTAAGCATGCAAAAGGGCACTGAAGAAACAGATGTCAAATGATAATGTGACAGAACCAAAATAACAAATTCTTGTTTGTAAATAAAAATATGGACAAATATGCAATATGATAAAAGTTACTGAAAAAAAAGAAGCACCTAAATAACAGAAATCGTATGATGATAACAAGATTTAAGTTTATGTAGTGTAAAACTCAAAGCACTGATGTAGATACAAAGTGAAAATCATTCTCATAGAGCAGTGGTTTCTAAACTGTGTGTTTTAGCAAGTTGCTAGAGTTTCACCAAATGAAGAATAATGAAGAGCATAAAAAAACCCACAAAAATTTTTGCATTTGGCAACAGGGGGTGTTGTGCAAATCAAGGTAAGTGGGTTAGGATGTTGTCAGTGAAAAGTTTGGAAACCACTGTCTTAGAGAAACATCGGAGAACTTAGTTGAAAACAAACAAAATTGTATATTGATATAACCTCAAACAAATAGGGAAAAAGTATTACCAAGATTCTGAACATGGTGCAGAAACCTGAACTATATTTCAAATGGACAAACATATCAGAATTATTGAACATAATATTATAGTAGGAAAAAACCTCAAAACATTATGCAAAACATTAGGAATATTGATAAAGTTTTATCTACTTAGTTTCATCCTGACTAAAGACCAAAGCTTGATAAATGTTACATTCATTTCTTATTGTAATGTAACATTTAAAATATGTGATTAACCTTTGGAAATATTTCTTTCACTCTACTTTATATGCACAACAGAAATTAAATGATGAGATGAAAATGTGTTATAACGGCACATAGAAAGAACAACAATAAAATGAACCTACAATATTACTGA